ATATCTGATGAGGGGTTAATCTCCAAAATACACAAAAAACATACAACTGAATATAAAAAAAACCAAATAACCCAATTAAGAAATGGGCAGAGGATCCAAATGGACATTTTTCCATAGAAGATATACAAATGGTCAATAGGTATAAGAAAAGATGCTCGATGTCATTAATCATCAAAGAAATGCAAATCAAAACCACAATGAAATATCACTTCACACCTGTTAAGGTGGCTATTATCAAAAAATCAAAAAATAATAAGTGTTGGCAAAGATGTGGAGAAAAGGGAACACTTGCACACAGTTGGTGGAAATGTAAATCAGTACATCCTCTAAGGAAAACAGTATGGTGGTTCCTCAAAAAACTAAAAATAGAACTACCAATCCCACTTCTGGGTATGTATCTAAAGGAAATGAAATCAGTATATCAAAAAAAATCTGCACTCCCATGTTTGTTACAGCATTATTCACAATAGCCCAGATAGGGAAATAATCTAAGTGTTATCAAAGGTGGAAATTCTGCCATTTGCAATAACGTAAATGAACTTTGGGGGCATTATGCTAAGTGAAATAAGCCAGACACAGAAAGATAAATACTGCATGACTTCACTTATAAATGGAATCTAAAAAAATGTCAAACTCACTTTGAGAGAGTAAAATGGTGGTTATTAGGGGCTAGATATTGGTCAAAGGGTACAAACCTTCAGTTACAAGATGAATACATTCTAGAGATCTCATGTACAGCCTGGTTAATAATAATGTATTAAATGTTTGAAATTTGCTGAGAGTAGATCTTAAGTGTTGTCACTACACATAAAAAAAAATGGTATCCATGTGAAGTGACAGATATGCTAATCAACTTGATTGTGGTAATTATTTCACTATATATGTGTGTGTATATACATATAAACATCACATCTTACACCCTATATATATACAATTTTTATTTGTAAATTATGCCTCAATAAAGCTAGAAAAAAAAGACAGCACGCATTAAAAAAAAAAACCTTTACAAACTATTAAAGGGACTTGGGGATAACTATCCCAATGTAAGACTGAGTTCTAACATCCCAGTGAGTAAAAATGTTTAGAAAATTAATAATTCCCTTTTATACAAAAACTTGTACATGAATGTTCACAGCAATATTATTCAGGATAGCCAAAAAGAGTGGAAGCAACCCAAATTTCCATCAAATGATGAATAAACAATGTAGTATAGCCATACAGTTGAATATTATTCTGCATAAAAAGGAATGAAGTACTGTTACATGCTATAACAAGGATAAATCTAGAAAACATGATGCTAAACAAGCCAGACAAAAAGCTACACATGAAGTGACTTCAAAAAGTTTGTAGAAAAATGGAATTAAAGGTAAAAATAAAAAATACATACTTTCTCAAAATAAGCTCCATCAAGTTTGAGACAATTTTGTAAGCAATGATACAACCCATTTAGTCCATCACTAAAGAACTGAGAGCCTTCGGAATTTAACCATGTCAATACAGTCTTTTCTACATTATCAACTGAAGAAAAATAGGTGCTCTTTAAAAACTTCTTAAGATTAGGAAACAAAAAGAAATCACAAGAAGCCAAATCAGGACTGTAAAGTCAATGCCTAATGATTTCCTATTGAAACTCACAAAACTGCCATTGTTTGATGAGAGGAGTGAGCACCTGCTTTGTCAGGTAGAGAAGGACGCTCTAGTCAAGCTTTCCCAGGTGTTTTTCTGCTAAAGCTTTGGCTTTCTCAAAACACCCTTAAAATAAGCAGATGTTATTGTTCTGTGGCTCTCCAGAAAGTTAACAAACAAAATGCCTTGAACATCCCAAAAAACTGTTGCCATGACCTTTGCTCTTGACTGGTCCACCTTTGCTTGGACTGGATCACTTCCACCTCTTGGTAGCCAAGACTTTGATTGTGTTTTGTCTTCAGGATCATGCTGATAAAGCCATGTTTCATCTCCTTTTATAATTCTTCAAAGAAATGCTTCAGGATCTTACCCCACTTGCTGAAAATTTCCATTGAAAGCTCTGCTCTTGTCTGCAGCTGAACTGGGCACAACAGTTTTGGTACCCATTGAGCAGGAAGTTTGCTCAACTGTAATTTTTCAGTCAAAATTGTGTAAGCTGAACCAGTTGAGATGTCTATGGTGTTGGCTATTGTTTCTGCTGTTAATCATCGGTCCTCTCCAATTAGGGCATGAGCAAAATTAATTTTTTCCTCACAAATTGGTGTGGATGTTCTGCCACTGTGGGCTTCATCTCATCCCTTCAGCATCATCTCATCCCTTCTGAAAACAAGTGCTTCATTGAAAACTGCTGATTTTGTGGGGAGGCATGGTCTCCATAAACATTTCATAAAGCATCAGTGATTTCACTATTTTTTCACCCAAGCTTCACTGTAAATTTGATGTTTGTTATTGCTTCAACCTTAGCAGAATTCATGTTGTTCTGATAGGGGCTCTTTTCAAACTGATGCCTTGTGTTTTTTGTTGCCTCAAACTAGATCCTGTCCAGACATGTTATAACAAGTTAATACAAGTTTATTTTGGTGCAAAAATTTGAAATCCGTGCATACTTTTTTCATAATATGCATTTTCCATGAACTTTTTGAAGATCCCTCATATTATATAATTTAATTTATATGAAACATCCAGAATAGGCAAACTCATAGAGACCAAAAGTAGATTAGTGGTTATTAGGGGTTTGGAGAAGGAGGGAATAAAGATTGACAGCTAAGGGAAATAGAGTTTCTTTAGGGGAGTGACAAAAACATTCTAAAATTAGATAGTGGTGATGTTTTCACAACTCTGTGAAGATACTAAAAATCACTGAATTGTGCACTTTAAAAGGGCGAATTATAGTATGTGAATTATATCTCAATAAATAAATTATGAATGAAGGAAAGAATTAATGAGTCAATCAATCCCTGCATTCTTTTCTGCAATTGGTTTAAACTTTGAAATTTTTAAGAATGAGCTATCAGCAGTGACATGTAATTTAGGCAAGAAATTCCCTTGTTTTACTTTTCAAGAATCTTATGTAATTATTCTCTTTGGACAGAAGAAAAATCTTTCCTTCTCTATCAGAGATTTAAAAAAAGATTAGCACCTTACAGAATAAAATGCTCTGTAATATTCCAATTTTCCACCTAAACAGTAGTAGCTTCAGATAAGATGGCCTCAAACCAGAAATTTCATAAAGATCCCTTTATTGGTAACTAAAGAGAATCACTCACTCTCCCTAAGGAATAGTCTAGTTGACATATATGCCTGAAAAAGAAGAAAAGAACAAGGCAGGGAAAGTTTTGTTCTCTCTTATTGTTTCAAGATATTTTATCACATTATCCTGCTACCATACTGAAATATTATCTAACAAAGTGAGAAGCTGAACTTAAGTTCAGTAGCTTCACCTAGAATTTGACAGTTAAACCATCACCTACATACACATGAAGCACTGGGAAGATACTTCAAGTTTCACTCACTCATAATATTATGTCAATATTCATCTTTACATGTGCCTGTTTCTTGTCATTATGATTTCTCATCTAGACCACTAAAGAGCATTTGGCCTCAGGTCCCCTGCAGACCACCATCTGTGGCAGGCAAGTTGGGCACTGAACAACTCTGGGGGAGTCCTTCACACCACCTGTGATGTGAACGGCACTCCCTAGTGCCTCGCCATTCGGGGGCTCAATCAGAGTATCTTTATAGTTCTACAAAACGAAGGAATGCAACAAAAAGAACTGGAAGGCAGTTCCTCAATCAAAGGAAAGGTTTTATGCTTATTTTTATAGTAATTCTTCATGAATACACAACCAATCTTTTTAGGTGACCTACCTCATCCTTCAGTTGACTTCTATTAGTTTCGTGGTGCTGATATTCCGTCCTACATTTTAAAAGTTTACGATCAGCAGCAGAGATTCTTTTCTCATACTCTGTGTTATTCCCAATCTCACTTTCCAAAAACTTGATCTTTTCCTTAACCAAACTTTCTTTTTCTCTTGTTTCCTGCTTTATCCTTGCTAATGCCTGCATTAAAACAAATGTATTTACTTAAATATACATTTAAAATGACAAAACTAAAAGGAATTTGGTTTTTATTTTTCCATTATTATATCTAGTATTTATTTTACCAAAACTTCTTAGGAGAGTATTTTTTAAAAGACAGAATTCTTATATAAATAAAAACAAAATATTAATATGTTACACACTAGTATCTATAAACTTATATCATTAACAGTCTCTATATTTTCTTTTATCTATCTGGAACTTGGCTAAAGAGATGAAAAAACAGTTAAGCTTTTATACACAAAGGGTAATCCTAAAAAAATGTAACAGTGTTGAACATCTTTCACATAGAAAGTTGGGTTTCAATGAAATTTTTCAAATATTTCACAGACCAGTTTTTTTTTTTTCCATCTTTTGAAAATAATTTAGTTATTGGTTTCAATAGGAATTTCTTCACTCAGGCCTTTTGCTGGTCTTGAAGACACAGTAATAAATAGAATACACAAAGTACTGTAACTGAAATGCCTTTCCACAGACTAGATTCAGAATGGAATTTAACATATCTTCTCCGCTGCCTTCTTTCCTTCTCAATTCCTTCTCCTTCCCAACTCCTCCTGATCTTCCCACTTTTACTCACAATGATTTCATTCCATAATGATTTCCCAAAAATAGTCTCCTAAATTACATCTGAAACTAACAAGAGATAAATAACACTAGGTCTGTGTTATTGATTCTTCTGAGCTTCTCACCCCTTTCTAAGCTTCTATGTCATTATTGGTGCCCCAGCTTCAGAAGTGAAACTTTACTGCAGTTTAAGCTTTTTGTTTGTTTGTTTCTTGGTTATCTAAGGAGGCTCATTTCTCTACACCTGTAACTTACTGCCAAATAGCATACATGTCCAAGGCGCCTTGGACAACCATATGTAAGTCAGAGCATTGGTTTTACTGCAATAACACTCTCTGTTGACTCTCTATTGCTCCACAGTTAAGAGATGGCAGAATCCTGTCTTCTATAAGCAAATAATCTTCATAAAATTATATTTCTAAGTGGATATACAGTCAACTTTCAAAAACATTTACCAAAATGATTGAATCCTGCTACAAATGGGACTTTCAAATAACAATGTGACTTAAATTGGAAATAATAAGTTAAATACAAAGGAGACAAACACAACTGAACATTTCAAGGACCAAACAGCTACTTTACCAAGGCACAGTTATCTATGTCTTGATCCCTCTTCCGCATCTGTTCTATTGTGTTCTCCCACTGTTTAATGAGTTCTTGTCTTTCATTATGAATCTTACGAAAATCTTGTGCTGCTTTATCCAATTCCAACTGTCAAACAGAGAGCAAACAACATTTCTGTGAATTTAAGTGCTCTTGCAAATATCACCTTGGAAATTAAGAAATAGAAACCTTCATTAAGCCAACCTGTGCACTTAGAGTCTCTGTAAGTTCATGGTCAAGTACTTTTCTTCTCTGATTACATTCCAAAGTTAGTCTTTCTAATTGCAGGGTCAGTGCCTATGTGAGTACATGTAAAAATACTTATTATCATTTTATTAATTTAAAAGCTGTTATAATATCTAACATTAAATATTATTACATTATAAACACAATTATTTAATATCTAAAACAACTATAAAATAAAATACATTTTTCTTTTCTTTTAACCTCAAAAAGCTAATCTAATGTGTTTGTATATAGCTGCATGAAAACTTGTTTCTAAAATGACTTTTAGGGCCGACCCTGTGGCTCACTCGGGAGAGTGCAGCACTGGGAGCGCCGAGGCAGCGGGTTCAGATCCTATGTAGGGATGGCCGGTGCGCTCACTGGCTGAGTGTGGTGCGGGCGACACCAAGCCAAGGGTTCCGATCCCCTTACCGGTCACAAAAAAATAAATAAATAAATAAAATGACTTTTAATACTTTTTAAAGTAAATTAGAAAAAAATATTAAATTATAATTTGCCATTTGAAATTATTTAAAACACTGCATTTGGTATTAAATATATAAGAAAACAGCATGTTTTTTAATACTAACTTTTTTTTTTTTGGTGGCTGGCCAGTACAGGGAACTGAACCTATGACCTTGGTGTTATAAAGCTACACTCTAACCAACTGAGCTAACCAGCCAGCTTTTTTTTTTTTTTTCTTTTTGTCTTTTGTCTTTTTCCGTGTCCGGCAACGGATCACAACCCTCAGTGTTGCCCCCGTACCGGACCGGGGACCAGCAACGGGATCGGACCAGCAACGGGATCGCAACCCTCGGTGTTGCTCCCGCGCCTCGCTCAGCCAGTGAGCGGGAACTGGTCTGTACATGGGATCCGAACCCTCGGGCGGGAGCGCTGCTGCGCTTCCCAAGCGGCGCACTATCCAGTGTGCCACCGGGCCGGCCCCTAACCAGCCAGCTTTTAATACTAACTTCGTTAGTATCACCAGATGTAATTATAAGTGCATTTTAAGTGATGTTATGATAACATATCAATCATAACATTATAGTCTCAAATTGGCAAAAACTATATGCAACATTCAAACTACTATATTTTAGACAAAATAGCTAAGATACTTATAAATATTTCTAGTACAAAACTTTCTCTTCTGAAATGCTTTCAGAATCTTTCTAAATCAACCTTGGGTTTATGGATCCCTAAATGGTCAAAGGGCTTCAAAGAATCTATAAAGCAGTCAGCAAAATTTTATGAGTACAGTCATTTTTCTAAAGAGAGGATACTTAGCTTTATTACATTCTCAAAGAAGTCCTTGACCCAAAATGTTTAAGAACTGCTGCTTTATTTTTATTTATTTTTTAATTGAAATTTAATTGATCACACATATTTATGAGGTACAGAGTTGACTATCAATACATGTATACAATATGTGATGGCAAATCTGGATAATTAGCTTATTCATCATCACAATACATAATCATTCTTTGTGTCCATTAACCAATTCCTCTCTAACCTCCTCTCCCATTCATCCTCCCTTTTTCCCACTTCTAGTAACCCCTGTTCTATTCTCTCCTCTGATAGGAACTGCTGCCTTAAATATCATAAGTACGATTTTAGGTCAAAAGGTCAACATACTACAGATTCAGAGAAGACATGACAATTACAATTTCTCACCCTAATTTTATTATCATCTTGTTGTGCATATTTCTGAAGAGTGAGGGCATCACTATCTTTATGAGCTGATTCTTCTAACCAGGCTTCCAATGCTTGCTGATCCCAGTTCATTTGACATTTCAAACCATCCAATTTTTGAGTAGCTTTAAATATGCCATTCTAATTTCCAAAGAGAGAGAGAGACAGAAAGGGAGATTACAAAACATTATTTACTATACAAACTAAAATAAAACATAACATTATATACTACAGGACATGTTAAAAAGAAAAAAGAAATTCTGGCCTTGCCTTCCAGATGTTTATAATATACCATATTTAATTATATAACTATCATACTTGCATTTTAATCCTTCAGTTGTAAAACTGACAGATGATTATATAAAGTAAGAACAGTAGTTGAGCCAAAGGTTGCTTAAAAAGACTTTAGGCTTTAGGGTAGATGCCTCACAGCAATTTCATTAGTCACTCCACCAAAGCCACCCTAAATATCCATGCAATCTTAGTTAAAATGATACGTTTGATATGCTAACACAAACAGGTTCCTTTCAGTCCCATTTCCAATCATATTGCTGCCTCTAATAGGTCTCTTATATAGAAATTTTGGAAGTACTCCTAGTTGAAATAAATACAGTAAAAGA